GGTGCGGCGCGCGCCGCACGGCCCAACCCCTACGCTGTCTCAATTTAGGCAAACTACCTAACCAAGAGGGTGCAACAGTTGATTAAGAAATTATATATCAAAAATAATATATTTATTAATAATATATATTAAGTTATTACAAAACATATTTTTTTATGTTCATCCTATGGAAATCGGCCAACTTAAAGTATAAAAAAAATGTTTCCTTTAATAACTTACATGATGAACAATTGTTGTGTGGTTGTTTAGAGGAGAATATTTAGTGTTAATAATAATTTAGTAATTTATATGCAATGAAACATTTTTTTTAAACTTCTAGAATATAATATTTTCAGATATGACGAATACTTATATATAATACGTGAAGGCGATTTCTACGAAATACTACTCCTCCATTAATAATGGACAGATTTTTACAAACGATGTGTCAAAATTAAGTATTTGTTGTGTTACACGTCCCTTTCACCAATTCCTGTAGTAAAAGTCCTTGGGCTTTGCCCCTCAGGCCATCAAAATCCCAATGTATATCAAATTATGAAGACAAGATTTTGTTAGGTAAACAGACAAATAATTTGTATTAATTACAGCTGTTCATAGTACACACATGATACACACAAGAGTTTTTGTTTTCAGTTTTGATAGATGGAGTTGAGTGAGCGTTCGTTTTCAGAGTGAGTTCGTTTCCAGTTTCGATAACTGGAGTAGAGTGATTGGTTACATTATCTTTGAGTTGACTCTCACACGTCAACAGAAATTGTGACAATTATTCGTAAAAAAAAACTCCTTTAATATTTTGCAATTGCTCTAATTCGAGCAACAGGTGCTCTAGTTTATTATATTTAAAATTAGCCTATTCATTTTATTTGAACTTTTAAGTGGAGTATTCATTTAAAAGCCACAACTGAACAGAAAATTATAAATATTTAGGTGTGCCGTACGACGTGCGCCGCACGAAACCCTACTAGTGTGAAGACACACGCTTGTCCGGCGCAGCGCCGCTCGGCGGACGCCGTACAGCGCGCGCCACTTTGTGTGAAAGAGGCTTAGAATATTTTAAAATTGTACCAATGATATTCTGAACCCTTAAAGGTTCAGTCTGAATATCAGTTTTGGTGTGTTTCAGGTGCAAAGTGAAGGAGGAAAGTGCACAGCTCAGTTGAATGGTGTTCTGTGTGAATGTGTTAAGTGTAAAAAGGCCTTTGACTCTGAGGTTCTGTCAAATGGTTACAAAAAAAATACTGGTTCCCTACAAGAATTTTTGGAATGTGTACTCTGTGCCGAATCATTTTGCAAGTTTAATGTGTTGAAGTCTCATATTTTAAACGTACATTCAGGAGGTTTAAAAAAAAATGTTTGTCCAATATGTAAAAGAGGTCTTACAAAATCATATTCCCTTAAAATACACATTCAAAATGTGCATTATCAATTGAACAGAAATCTCAGTTATACATGTAAACTTTGTAATGAGACATATGCAGATAAAAGTGGTCTTAGAAAACATACTTCTCGGGTACATGTGCATACAAAAAAATACCAATGTGGAGAATGTAATAGTAATTTTGCTGATAAAAATAAATTAACCATGCATATTAAAAGATGCCATTTGCCTCTCGAACAATATAAATGTGCTAATTGTAGTAGAGTGTTTGCCTTCAAAGAGACTTTAGTGGAACATATTAAAAATCAGCACTCAGGTACAACTCGAGGTTTTAGTTGTGAAAAATGTGGGAAAATGTTCACAACAAATCAAAATTTAAATATTCATTCCTTGTCACATTCTGATAATAAACCGTATGTCTGTCATACTTGTGGCAAAGCATTTAAAAGAGAGTGTAATTTACAGCAGCACGAGCATACACACAGAGATAACAGACCTCATGTCTGTAATATATGTGGTCAAACGTTCAAACTAAGAACCCATGTCAAACAACACATGGCTGTCCATGGAATCACCAGGAATCACAAGTGTGTTGTCTGTGAGAAGACTTTTGCCAGGAAAACCCAATTGAACACCCATTTGTCAACTCATTGATTGGTGTTTGCACAAATGCTTTAGCCAGATCATCTTCAGAAGATCCAAAAGTTTACATTATTGAATAATACTGTTCGATGAAATGGCGACACTTCAGATCACAAGATCCAAAAGTACAGTCATTAACAGATATAAAATTTTACATTGTTAATGACCCTATGGAAGAGAGTGTCCTTTAGACTTTTGGTCTTGTGAACCAAGGGTCAGAAGATACAAAATATACCATTCTGTAGTTCTAAAGATCAGAAGATCCAAAAGTAGGAATTATTGTGTGTTTATTTTAGCCCCGGTAAAAGATTGTAGTAGTAAAATGCGTCTTGCCGCGATTGCGGGCGACGACGATGACGTTTTTGAGACCGCGGGAGACGACGATGACGTTTCCGTGACCGCGGGAGACGACGATGACGTTTCCGTGACCGCGGGAGATGACGATGACGTTTTCGTGACCGCGGGAGACGACGATGACTTTTCCGTGACCGCGGGAGACGACGATGACGTTTCCGTGACCGCGAAAGACGACGATGATGATTTCTACACGGCCGCGTGAAATGCTCATGATTTTGCCGCGATAGTGACCGACGACGATGACGTTTCCGTGACCGCGGGAGACGACGATGACGTTTCCGTGACCGCGGGAGACGACGATGACGTTTCCGTGACCGCGGGAGACGACGATGACTTTTCCGTGACCGCGGGAGACGACGATGACTTTTTTGTGACCGCAGACGACGGCGATGACGTTTCCATATCTGCGAGAGGCAATGATGATGTCTACACAGCCGCGTAAGATTTTCGTGATTTGCCGTGACCGCGAAAGACGACGATGATGATTTCTACACGGCCGCGTGATATGCTCATGATTTTGCCGTGATTGCGGCCGACGATGATGACGTTTCCGTGACCGCGGGAGACGACGATGACGTTTCCGTGACCGCGGGAGACGACGATGACGTATCAGTGACCACGGGAGACGACGATGACGTTTCCGTGACCGCGGGAGACGACGATGACGTTTCCGTGACCGCGGGAGACGACGATGACGTTTCCGTGACCGCGGGAGACGACGATGACGTTTCCGTGACCGCGGACGACGGCGATGACGTTTCCATATCTGCGAGAGGCAATGATGATGTCTACACGGCCGCGTAAGATTTTCGTGATTTGCCGTGACCGCGAAAGACGACGATGATGATTTCTACACGGCCGCGTGATATGCTCATGATTTTGCCGTGATTGCGGCCGACGACGATGACGTTTCCGTGACCGCAGGAAACGACGTTGACGTTTCCGTGACCGCGGGAGACGACGATGATGTAGACACGGCCACGGGAAATATTCATGATTTTGCCGAGATTGCGGACGACGACGAATATGACGTTTCCGTGACTGCGGGAGGCTATGATTATGTCTACACGGCTGCAGATGTTCATGATTTAGCCGCGATCGCGGACGACGACGTTGACGTTTCCGTGACCGCGGGAGACGACGATGATGTAGACACGGCCACGGGAAATATTCATGATTTTGCCGAGATTGCGGACGACGACGAATATGACGTTTCCGTGACTGCGGGAGGCTATGATTATGTCTACACGGCCGCAGATGTTCATGATTTAGCCGTGATCGTGGATGACGATGATTACGTTTCCGTGATCGCGAGAGACGGCGATAATGTATACATACCGCAGGAGATGTCCAGGATTTTTCCATGATAACGTTAAGACTGTGATGACGTTTACGTCACTGTGGGAAGCGACCACACGACCGCAGGAAATATTCAGGATTTTGCCGCCATTGATAATGTGTTCATAAAAAATTAAGATAATATTCAGGATTTTGCTGCTATTGAGAGAGAAGATGTTTCCAAGGCCTTAAGTAATGATGATAATGAAAATGATTAGTATAATAAGGATTATTACTTTTTCAACACTAGCTCACTATGGACTTTGAAACAAATTTGATGTAAGTTTATATTGTATACTTAAGCTGCAAGTCTTAAATTGATTATAGTTTAAGTGGAACCAAAGAAATACGCGGGAACCTGGAAAAACTTTGAAAAACCAGGAAAAACCTGGAAAAAACCTGGAATTTCACTTTAATAAAATAGTATACACCCTGAAAGATTAATTCCTTTGATTTAGGCCATCTCTTATGATTCTACTACATATCATACGCTTAACTAAGATACGCACCTAGAAGGCGTCCCCATCTTAATGATTGATAATTGATACTAATTTACTTAAAAATACACAAGTTTGTAAATTGCACAGTAAAAAAGTTTAGTGCAGAATGATCATCCAAATCATTTCAACCAGGACGTGATTGAGCCATGCGAACGAGCTTATTTGTGAAGTTAAACGGGGCAAAGCCCGCTGTAACAGCTAGTATACATATAAAACACTTTGATTGAATGGTGTTTTTGGCCTCTGGGGACATCAAAATGAAAAAGTAAATCGGTGCCGGGCTTAGGTCTTACTGTGCCACCTACGGTAATAGCTACTTCCCTATAGGGAAATTGGCTAAAAAGCCAAAATTAGAAAAACATGGGGGTTTTTTTTATTGCTTTTACAATCAAAATAAACTATACCGAGCTATGGCTCGGTACTCCAGTACTCAATTAGAATATAACCATTATTTTGTATGTCAATCATTATGATATATCAATACGCGGCCGGGTTTTTTCTCATATTCTGCAATTAACTTATAACTTAATTTCTCTTTATTTGTTATATGTTCAATGATGCTGTGCACTCATTTTGTGCACAGGTATCAAGACTGTTATATGTAATATTGAATAAATGGCTCTAATTAAACTGCACAACTAACACACGGGCCCTCTTGTTGTAATAATTATTATCCTGGCTGAAAACAAATCAACACAACATTTAGAAATATTTACTAAAAGTGTACCAATGATATTCTGAACCCTTAGAGGTTCAGTCTGAATATCAGTTTTGGCGTGTTTCAGGTGCAGAGTGAAGGAGGAAAGTGCACAGCTCAGTTGAATGGTGTTCTGTGTGAATGTGTTAAGTGTAAAAAGGCCTTTGACTCTGAGGTTCTGTCAAATGGTTACAAAAAAAATACTGGTTCCCTACAAGAATTTTTGGAATGTGTACTCTGTGCCGAATCATTTTGCAAGTTTAAGAGGCATCATCACCTTTGCTCTGTTTGCGATTTGGGGGGGGATGACTTGGTGGTAGATGAGGGTGAGCGGGGAGGGGTGCGGGGTCAGTATTCATGCCGTTCTAAAAACATCGTTATTTTAGCCGTCACCGCACGCGCACTGCCACGAGTCCGCGCAGTACCATCGCCCTGCCCTACCTAGCGTCGGTCTTAGAATACTCTACTGTACATGTTCAAGATATATATTTGGCGGCTTCCTTAAACGGCTTAAACATGAAGAGAGTTTATATATTATAAATGGTAGTGATAAATTATTTTTAAATGCATTACTAATTTCATTGATATCATTCCATTTAATAAAAGTTTATATTCTCTGTTCTTTTATTCTTATAAAATAAAATAAAATAGTAAACAAATTTATTCCAATGGAACAAAATACAGTACAGTACCACACCAGGATATTTTAAGGAGTTAACAATATAGCCACCATTTCGTTACTGAAGATATTTCTGTTAATGTTTTGCAGAGTTACAACACACACACAATGATGGTAACAAACAATAATTCAATGTTTTATATGCTATATGTATGTAATACAAAAACTCTCTTTGTCATGACAATAATTATAGTAATACCTTTATCTAGGTAGGAAATTACAATACAGCAAATAATAATAATATACAAATTCAAAATGGCAAGTAAATTAATTTATGTACAGGTATTGAAATATATTCTAAGAAAAAATCAGTACAAAAGTATTTCACAATAATATGTATCCTAACGCATTTTACGGTAAGCTTGTATGAATACCATGATGTATATATACAGATTAACGATTACCTAATTATAGTTACAAAATTAAACATACAACCAATAGTCAATACATTAATGTAAAAATCAAATCGTAATGAATAAACTTTACAATATCCGTCCAAATCAGAGTAATGAAGGTTTCAAAACTAAATCAATCACTAAATTATTTTCAAAATTCAATGTTAAAAATAATTTTTGGCATGTTTATTCAGGACGTCCCTAAGTTGTTGATTGTAATTTATTTTTCCGGTCCCGTTTTTGCTTCTGTTCTTTGATGGCAGCTTGTATATATACTGGGTTTCTTATTTCCATGGACCTGGGGTGACGGGGATCTACTAACTCTGGTAATATACAATCCACATAAAACCTTTTCAATTTCTCTTCCATCTGGTTTTGCCAAAAATCGTCATCCTTCATGATTTCTTCAATTTGGATTCCATGAGGTGTCCACAGGGCGAAGTAACATTTTTGTCGTTTTGATATGTGAAGTTGTCCCTGGATCTGATAAAAGAACTTGTGTTTCCTGTTTATTTCTATTTTGTCCTCATTGAAGCTTAGGAAAGGGAACTTTTTTGATCTAATTGATTCTTCTGGGGTTAAGTTTTTGCATGACTCTGGACATTTAACCTCAACAATGCTATCATTCCCAATTAGACCGTCAGGACTGGCGCCTAAGTATTGGATGTTTTCGTCAATGAACAATCCGCACTTTTCAACAGTTACCCCCAATACTTCTTCAATTTTCGTTATGGCATTAAGTTCATTTTCTTTTCCATATCTTGTCGCTGAACAATCGACATCACTATACAGTAGTGTCTTTACGAGGTTTCCACAGCCCGTTGTTGGTCGACGTTTACAGACCGTACCGAAGTTAGATGCGGTGAGCAACTTGCGCCTTTCTTCTTTCCATAGGCCACTGTCCGACTGTAGAACGGTTTGTCTTTCAATCAAGATAAGTTCATTCCTGTTTCTTTTTAGAGATTTCAGAAAATCTTCCTTTTTCAGTTCGTATTCTTCTTTTGGGAGGTCTGGTTTCTGCGAATTTGGTCCATAGCTTTTTAGATTTTCGGCTTTATCTTTGTTGCTAGATTTCAATTTAGACCTCCTTACCTTTTCCCTCCTTTGTCTTTCTCTCAGAACCTTTTGTACCCGCCTAAGTTGCTGGGTCTTTAAAACCTTCCCAGGACTCTTTTTAACTAGATTTTTATGTAGTTTGTAAAGTGCGAGTTGTGAGTTGTGTGATACAACTGCAGCAGAACATCTCGCCTGGTATGACCTTTTCTTGGCAAAGTTTATTCGTTTGCCACCAACAAACTTGGCAACTTTCGAGTTGAAATGCTCGGCAGGGTTGTTGTTTTGCTTTATGATCAAGCTTTTGGCATTGTCACACAGATAGCTCACGTGCCTCATCACCTTGTGGTAGATGCCACTCGCCTTCATCTCAGGGATGTAATTTATCTCTCCATCCTTTCTCCCTTTACATCCGAAGTAGCCGATTTCCTCGCATTTAAGATGTTCTCCGAACACGTGGCTTGGCGAATTTCTTATGTCATTTTGTAGACGCAAAGTCTTTTCTCTATGGTTTTCCTTCTGTCTGTAGTCAGCTCCTTTGTTACAGCTGACCTAAGTTTAAAGACCTTGCTTCTAAGTACGTTTCTTAGAGTTATTGGACCGGCGCCTTTGTCCAGTACTATGTCTCTTAGTTTTGAGCAATAATTTCGAAGTAGGTGATTTGTACATTCAATCTTAGAGACTGTGTAATTTTCGTATGGCCTACATTCGATTAGTTTATTGTAGACGTTTGAATCGCCATCAGCTAGGACGGTCCCGTAAATGGCCCCATACATTTCAATACTCCTACAAAAACCTTCGAAAATAATGTCAGCTTCCATGCTGGGTGAAGAACCTGTCCAGTTTTTGTAGCATGGATGCGGCGATGCAGATAATCCTTTCTCAGTTGCACTGGCGCAGATAGTATTGCGTACTCCAAGAAAAATCACCTTCTTTGAGTGAGCTCCAACGATAGCTGCCTGGAAAAAAATTCCTTTTCATTTGGTTATAATATATAGTGTATATATATTATGTACATATACTATGTATACATGTATATATATGTATATATATATCCCAACGAAATATTTTAAATTGTGAAAGAATAACCATGTTTTTAAACATATTACAGTGATTTCTCAATTACCTGTAAGTGGGTGTGAGTAGATGATGTAATTTTCGTGTTCAACATTAAACTTTGAATGGGAATAATAGAAAATTATAGAGGATCAATAGTAAAAACTACATCGAAAATAGTTCCAAATACTATAAAAATTATATACCAAAAATAAAAAATAAACATTGGTCTATAGAATGTTCCTACAACATATACTTCTGTGTATACAAGAATGTAGCAAAATATGTCAGATAGCAGGTATTCAGAAAAACTTGTATTTTTGTTTCAGTTTAAACAGTAAAATCAGTAAAAGAAATTCCTGTTTTCTAGTGTTCAAGTCACTAAAACAAACGAAGTTATAAACCTCAAAAGTAGGCCTATACCATATGGTTGGAAAGCTTATAAAAAGGCGCAGTTTTCAACATATTTTGCTACTTCTTGTCCCAGACATTGGGAAAAATAGTGGGATGAAAATCTTACCACTCCCGATAGTGAATTGTAGTTAGTGCGGTAAGACCTCTTGGCCCACCCGCCGTCTGCCACAACCGTCAAGATAGGTATTCCGTCCTTTGTGACGCTACCCTCCTCCAGCGCATATTTAATCTCCTCCTTGGCTGCCTCCTCCATCTCTTGTAGAGCAGTTGACTCCCATCCATCTGACACACTGTTGTGGTACTTTGAGTACGTGTTGTAGGACATTGATGGGACCTCTAAGGCAGAAAAAAACTCCTCGAGTTGGGAATGTCCGATTCCGATTGCCATGGCCCCCGCCACGCTTGCCGAGTTTATATCCATTACGGCACTCGCGTCGTCCGTACACAGTGTGTATTCCAGGTTGCACATGTTACATTTGAACAATAAGTTCGATTTAAGCCCAAATCGTGTTTCCTTCTTTAGGATCATGTTACCAAACGTGCATCCCATTGCTTCATTGTGGTCGTTCATTTGTTTTATTTGTTCTAAAAACTTTCGTACGTCTATCACTCGTCTCCCTACAACATCTGCAGAACAGTCAGATGAATCGTCCACACTAATTTTATCATCAATGTTTTGTTGATCTTCAACATGTGTTGCTTCATCTGCTAAAACGGAAGAAACGTGGATATCTATAGAACTTAGGCACAACTTTCTTCGGGCTCTGGGTTGGATTGGGGTACTGCACTTGAATCTGTAATGATAAAACATAAAATATATTATAAACACTGATAAAACCAATCAAATATCTTTTTTTATGCATTTAGCTATTTATGTCAAAAGCCAGTAGCTGTTTAAATTTTCACTTTATCAAAAACACATTATCATAAAAAATATTCTATGACAGCAAAAAATCTTCAAATTTCTCAAATTACTACAATCCTAGGTGCTGGTGGCTGTATTATTATTTCAGGATAGTTTTGCCGTCATTTGAAGGCTTCTGATTGTCTGTGGGAACACCATTACCGAAACGATACGATGAGACGACACCAGCCTTGGTGGGCTTGTGGATAGCGTGTCGGACTGATAATCCGAAGGTGCCGTGTTCAAATCCCGCTGGTGGCACTACCTTTTTGTCCAAATTTGTTTCATTATCAGCAAGTTTGGTTGGTTTGGTTAGGTTATTACAGTTTAATTTAATAATAAAAACATTATCAAATTGAATTTAAGCCATTAATAGTTTAATTATATGAACAAGTATTTATTTTATTTTATCAACTATTGTTCGATTAAACCTTCATTAGACTTTTTCATCATCAGCAAGTTTGGTTAGGTTGACAGTTAAGTTTTATAATACAAAAAATTAAAATTGAATTTGAGGCATGTATAATTGTATGTTATGAACAGAACTATTTTTTCAATTAGTAAACTCATTATAGTTAATCAGAAGCCTCTGAAAATAAGCCTGAAATAAAATTTGGGCATCCTGTAGACAAGTTGTTCACACGATATAAGATAACAAAAAATCATTATATGAAAATAGCTGGAATTTATATAGCAAGGTTCCAACTAAATTGTTAAGATTCTAAATGTAGATTTTTGAAAATATTGACAGCGGTTTTCTCAAAATCAGGTAATTATTAAAATAGGAACCTTGCCATTCTAATCTAATAAAATAAAAACAAAATTCACTCATCATTAGGCCTACACTTACTGATCAGAGTTTCCAGCACTAAACTGACTGTCGCACGACTTTTCACTAAGGGGTGAGATATCCATCCTCGTTGATGGTTGAGAATTGCCCAATGAAGGGTCGGTGACTTCCAGTTGAGCAGGAGGGTCATGATCATGGACATTTTCAACTCCGTCAACCTGCCTTGCGTTCCTGTAAACGAAAAGTATCATGCTTTATGTGGCTTGGAATAAAGATTCGTTCACAAAAAAAAATATTTTAACTGCGGTTTTACCACAGATATGGTAGCTAATATATTACCACCAACTTGAAATGGTGTAATATATCAAAACCAAGATAGAACTATGAATTTAGATGTAGTACAAGTTACCTGTGTGTCAAATTCTAGCCTAATCAATTCAGTAGTTTATGTTTTCTTTTGATAGAGTAAGAGTCAGACACCACTATATTTTTATATACTAGTATGATATGATAGGATGATTTACTACTTACCTTCTTTCAAGGCGCCATTTCATCAGGCCAACGTTGACACTTCTTTTCTTGCGTTTAGCACTCAAAAATAAGTTGCCTTTTTTCGAGACTCTTCCCATAATGCAGAAGAAACACAAGTAGACATAAAAAGTACGAAACGACGTAAATTGTTTACTGGTGAATGTTAGCAGTAGGATCGCACGATGCAGTAACCAAAGCCGTTAGCAGGACTACTAGCGCTAGATCACTAGATCAGGTGATGTGCAGGTGTAGCCGACGGCCAATGACTGCAGCGGCAGTGATGACTCACTGTAGGGCGTAGGCCTATCCACGCTGTTCCCAGAATTTGACAAAAATGTACGCAAAACACTCAACACTCTGATCCATGTAACCTCACATCACCATCACGACCCTCGCATGTCCACGATATCCATTGAACGCTGGACCTTAGGCATACGCTGAAATAAAGGACATATCT